CAAGTTGCCTTTGGATTTAAGGATTTTGAGAATTGTAACGCCTTCCCCTAAAGACTCATAGAGGTTGGCCAAAATCATTTCGCTGAGACAAAGTTTATGTCCAGCATGCAATTGGTTCACCATGGTTAAATATCTCTTCGCCACTTGGAGTGATCTCGAGAAAAATACGAAACGAGATAACCATAGATCAGGGAAGGCAATGTGCTATTGATAGAGACTTCGTCAAAATCCTTATTATGGTAATAAGTGATGTAAGTAGTGAAAGTTACTTTGTTGGTTTCGAAGCCTATAAAATCGTCATCCATGAAGTTAGGGTCATAGGTTTCTCCAGTTGGATTAAGCCCGGTTATGGCAGCAATGTCGAAAGGATTGGAGTCATCATTGCACAAGGAAGATAAAAATTGTTGTTGGTACTATCCCAAAAGTACAAAGAGGCTACTAGCATAGATTGACAATAGCCAGGTCCTACCTTCGACAATTGGACCATGTTGAAGATTCTCATCTCTTTTCAAACTTGGGATTTTGCTTTTTCTATTTTTCCTAACCAAGCTAGGTAATTTGAGATATCTTTAAATAAGGGACATGATCTAAATATCCTAAAGTTATTCATGTATTCTAGATTGATGAGTTCTTTAGAAACCTCATTCGAAGGGGAACCTTGGTTATCATTTTTCAGTTTCTCATCCGCCTTAATCTCCTCATTAATCTTAGGTCTTTTTCCATTGGCTATGGGTTTGTAATGGTGGTATACTGGGAAAAAGTCCTTAAGTTTATTGGGGTTAATGGAAGGATTTGGTAAAGGACCTAACATGGCATGCGTCTTACCAATAATAAAGATAGGAATTAATACCTGAGATTGGTAGATTCTCCTATTCTCTTCTTCAAGTGAAGGTTCATTATGTATTATTGGTTACCCATAACAATTGGGCCCGAGATCTTTTAGACTGGAGCAAGTTCATATTTCTTTGAATCTTTGATATTCTTGGTTGAACCCTTGGAGTTTTTAGTAGAAGATGCCATTGATAAAGTTGAGAAAATGGTTTGTGTTTGCGTAGAAGATGAAGATTTTAGAAGAATTTGTTCTTGATATAAAGTTTAGAGAGTGGAAAAGATTAAAAATGGTGTCTTTTCACTATTTATAAATTGAAGAAGTGAAACGGTTTTCTTCAAGTATTAATGGTTGAAAGACATAGTGGGACACATGCCAATTGAAGAAGCGAGTGGTGAGACAGTGGCAGTTAAGCTACCCCACGATCTCTTACGGACTAGGTGTGTGATAATTAAAAATATTCACACATGGGTTTGAGGAGACGTTTGAAAAAGTTGTTATGATGACTGTGACGTCATAGCAGACAAAGGGTTTTTGGCGTGGAAAGTGAGTTTCAAAAAATACTCTTTTCTCTATTTAGTCGAAAACAACATTTTTATTGGGGGGGGGTGCAATTGGTTAGCTGGGAATTTTGACGCCAAAGGTTTTGATTTGAATATGATAAGCAAAATGAAACATTATTGAAATTTTTTTAACTTAGAAAGGAGTGCTATTAAAAATTCCAGTCGAAATGTTGGTCCTTTATGAGAAGGATGTGTTGAAGCGATATTTAGAAATATTTCTAAGTCTGGATGACAATTTTGACGGAGGCTATATGTGGCTTGCGTTTGATGAAATATTTGAATTTCTAATAAGAACAATAACTGTCTTTTGTTCTTATCTATTTTTTAGAAATGACGCATGAAAGGCTGTAGTGAATTGAAGACATGCAGAACAAAACGTGTCATTTTCTAGAGGAATGATTGTTACTGACAGTTATTTCGACATAGTATAAATAGGGGTCTCAGTGCATAGGATTTCCGTGTGTTCAATTGTTGTACAATACTAAAAAAATCACTCAAAGTATCTAAGTCAATTGAGAAAAGATTTTTCATAGAGAATGCACATCTGAAATACCACGTTTTATTTCAATTGAAAGTTATTTTCAGTTTACCATTTATTCCTTCATTGCAATTTTACTTTAAAGTTTCTTTATTGCACATTTCTTTACAATTCTGCAAAGTTTATTTTTTCAAAGACTTTAAACAATCTTTCATAAGCATGAGCACTGTCGAAGTGTTCTTGATATTTCCAGAAATAGTTTAAATGATAGCTGTGTCATAAGGATTCACAGGTTGATCCTGCAAGTAAACCATTTTTTGAAAGACCAATGGTTGTTTACTAATTTTCACGGTAAACAAATAGTTTGCTAGGCGAACTTAGATATTTCCTCAAGGACGGCTTAACTGTTTAGAGGCACTTCAGGTGCCATAAAGTAGAGTTCGTTGAGCGAAGAATGAGTTTCTTGGACGAACTTGGCAGATTTTAGTTGTACTATATAAGTATTTTTCACATTTTTTGGGGATCATAACCCATTTTTAACATAGAAACTTCATTTTTCAGCATTTCTTCACCAAAGAGTGATCTTTTGCAAATAGAAGCTGGATTTGCATCCGAGTTCGATTCTTCGACGTGGATGCTCCATTCATCTTCTCTCTTTACTTGTAAAGCAAGCTACCACAGTTATGGGTAGCTAATTTCCCTTGTATCAAAGGTAGAAGTAATCTACCTTAACTTTATGTATTTCTTTTGATTGACCTTGTATGTGAAACAAGTGATGATTAATATATGATGAATATTTTTGTTCTTAATGGTCTATTCTTATTTTGTAAAACTCTAGACATAGATTTTATGGAACTTGACCTAAAATATTCGTCTATCAATTTATAGATTGGAGAGATCGGTCTATGGTTGATATTTGCTTTGTATTGAACTTAAAATTTACTATATTGGTTGTTATATGGAGAGATCGTGTAGCGATGAATACGGTATTTCTCACGACGCCGCTCTAGAGATAGACGGTATTGAGAGAATATGCGATGATATTAATCGAATCTGACTTCAATGCAAGATTGAAAGAATACGTATAAGTTAGGATAGATGAACAGTACTTTTGATATACTTTGTTAATCAAACACTTTATAATTTATAAGTTTTGCTTCAAAAAAAAAATCGCAACAATTTATGAACCAAAATTTAAAATCGTTTTTCTTAGAACGATAAACTATTGAAAGACAAGTATCAAGATATGAGACAATCTCTGTGGAAACGATAACAAAAAGTCCTCCTTTTATTCTACAAATAACAATCCTAAGTAAATATCTATAGAATGTCAATGTGATGGTATTTGTAATATATTCTTTGAGTTTAATCTTTCAGTGTCACTGTAGGTTGATGAGGTTGAAATGCAGGTTAATGAGGTTGGAGTCATACAAATCTTGGAAGAACCTTTAAGATTCTCTATCAATGGAGTAAATTTAGAAGACATCATCTCTTTAATTATGTTCATCCATTAGTCGATTCATCCTCCTTTTCAATTGTGATTGATGTGTGTGTAGGTCTCTTGTTGTTTCCCTATTTTTTCGCAACAATTTTTTATAGTTATATATCTTTTTTCTCTTTTCTCGACCTCGTCCAACATCTCAAATGGCTTATGTATTAGAAAGTCATAAAATTGAGTTTTTGTTTTAGACTGTTACTAGTGCATGAAAAGCCATGACCAAATTGATATTTTTTTATGTATTTGGAACATCTCATCATTGAAATGGTCATTGATGGAGCTATGACAATTATCCAACTTTTTATTGAATCACTTCGATGAATTATCAAACTTCTAAAGAATATCAATATAAACTTTTCATCTAGATGCTTCCACAAACGAATGACTCTCCTTAGGATTGGGAGGACGAAAATATGATTTTTTTCAGTGGACAAATATGATTTTTTTTACATAACTAGTTTTAAAATAGATTGTGGAAGTTATCTGATTTGAATATGTTTATAGTCTAAAACTATGTGAGCATATTGATACTTCTAAACATCTTACTAGTATGCATGTAAGTTTGTAAGAATAATATCGTTGTAAACTAATGCACCATGTCTTTGTAGCACGTTAACCAACTATAAACTTCATTATAAGAATAATATCACTCCTATATTACTATTTTTCCTTTTATATTTATATATAATAACATATATTAACCAATAACTAATAAGATTTATTTGATAAAGTTGTTGTATTTTATTTCCTCCATTTGTGTAAAATAACTTATTATAACATTTTTTGTGGAACTAAGGGAGGATTGAATTTTACATTTATTCAAAAGTCATTCAAAGTCTGTCCCTCCATTCAAGGATGAAAGTAGATTTTTCAAGCATCAAACACAAGAATCACTAGCATAACATGCTTTGAAACCCACACGCTTAAATTAATGTTAGGAATATCAAATCCAATATAAAATCATAGTTGTCAATTACATACTCAATCAAGTCCCTTTCTTTTACCCAATAAACATCAACACATTACTTCTTCCATCAAGCATATAAACATCAGAGTCTAAAACTAGCAAAATGTTGTTTTTAGGATGACACATTTCATATATAGTTTAAAAGATACTTGATTCGATTACAAAATAATTACCAATAGTTTAGCACAAGTCTAAAGCATTATTAAAGCATCACATGTGCAGATTTATGAGAAAAGATTAAGGTTGCCCCTTTCATCACGGGTCGAATAATAGCACTACTTGTCACTACATGTTAAAAAAATGTCCTCTAGTACATTCAACTTTTTCCCTTGATTCCCCTTATCCATGAAAAAAAATAAACAAATTCTTAAGACACAAAATTGCCCCCACATCCTTTTTTCTGGCCTAGTTTGTTTGAACTCTTTCTAACTCTTGCATATGTAATGTGGCCCACTAAAAATCAATCAATGATTTAACATAAAAATTGAATATAGTTTAATTCCAATTTGCTGTAACATGGTCCGTGAATATGACTCACGAGAATTAAAAGATATATCAAAATTTCAATGTTTTTTTCACCATATAAACCTCATCACTCATTCTATTTTTTTAAGTGCAAAGCTTCATAGTAGTGAGCACACACTTTTCACTAAAATCTTTGAAACATGGCTAACTTTGCTATAGCCAATGTTTTGATACTTCTCTTAAACTTGAGTACCTTACTCAATGTTCTTGCTTGTCCTTATTGTCCCTACCCTTCTCCTAAGCCACCAACACACAAACCTCCTGTTGTTAAACCACCAGTTCATAAACCACCAAAGCCACAACCTTGTCCACCTCCTTCTTCATCACCAAAACCACCACATGTTCCAAAACCTCCTCATTATCCCAAACCACCTGTAGTTCATCCACCTCATGTTCCAAAACCACCAGCAGTGCATCCTCCTCATGTTCCAAAACCACCAGCAGTGCATCCTCCTCATGTCCCAAAACCACCAGCAGTGCATCCTCCTCATGTCCCAAAACCACCAGCAGTGCATCCTCCTCATGTCCCAAAACCACCAGCAGTGCATCCACCTATAGTGCATCCACCTTATGTACCAAAACCACCAGTTGTTAAACCACCGGTTGTTAAACCACCAGTTGTTAAACCACCAGTAGTGAAACCACCTTATGTCCCTAAACCACCTGTTGTTCCAGTAACGCCACCTTATATTCCTAAACCACCTGTTGTTCCAGTAACACCACCTTATATTCCTAAACCACCAGTTGTTTTTCCACCACATGTTCCTCTTCCTCCGGTTGTTCCAGTAACACCACCTTATGTTCCTAAGCCACCAATCGTTTTTCCACCACATGTTCCTCTTCCACCAGTTGTTCCAGTAACACCACCTTATGTTCCTCTTCCTCCGGTCGTTCCAGTAACACCACCTTTCGTACCAACACCACCTATTATTACACCACCGACACCGACAGTACCAGTTCCTAGTCCACCTAGTGAAACACCGTGTCCACCACCACCACCAGAAGTTGTACCTTATCCACCCCCAGCACAACCAACATGTTCCATTGATGCTTTGAAGTTAGGTGCATGCGTGGATGTGCTTGGTGGTCTCATACATATTGGAATCGGTGGAAGTGCTAAACAAACATGTTGTCCATTGCTTCAAGGACTAGTAGATTTGGATGCTGCTGTGTGTCTCTGCACCACTATTAGACTCAAGCTTCTTAATATCAACCTTGTTATTCCCCTTGCTCTTCAGGTTCTTATCGACTGTGGCAAAACTCCACCAGAAGGTTTCAAGTGTCCATCATCATAGTTTCATAGAGCTACTACCACATTTAGATTTTGTAAGTAATTTAATAATTCCACTTTATAGCTCTTAATATAGTTGTGTACATGCAGTTTATATACATTATAAATATATGAGCATATGACTGTGTTAATGTTTGCAGGATTGCATGGATATTAGGTTGCTTGGAATAAGGTTAACGTACACAAGGTTTGAAAGAGATGTAGTGAAGAAAAGTATCATTGTTTCTCGTTCATCAAGTTGTTGTAGGGTACCACAGATTAAGGCCAAGGACATAGTAGAAGTATTGTGTAGCTGGGTGCAGAGTAGAAAGTTTTCTGCACTTTCATGAAGTAGTTGTCGTCGTCATGCATTAATACGACAAAAACATTTAAATTTGATTATTTTCTGTTTGGTTACTCTTTGTCTATTTGTTTGATTGCGTGTGATGCTCTGTGTTTGCATGTCAGCGTTTGTAACTTCACCCGTGAATGCATTGGAAATGTACAAGTTCTTTTTTATGTACTTCCATTTTCTTAAAAAATGATTCTCATGCTACACGTTGTTTCTTTCTTTTTTTGGTCAAGACACGTTTCTTTAATAATTATGAATAGGTAGAGTATATATTGGACCAGGGTGGAAGTGATAGCATGATTGCATGTGATTTTGAACGATGAAATTGGATCCATTATCAACTAAAAAAATAATGATATAGATTTTGAGATAGTTTAACATGATTTTGGTTCTTATTATGGTAATATATAATAATAAATGCTTATTTTGAATCTTCTATTGTTAATGGATAGTTGTAGTCATTCATTTCTATTGCAAATTTGCAATACATAATATTATTATGAGTCGGAGACAAAACATATCTTCAGTGATTTTGTTTGGTGAGCGTATCGTGTTTTTTTCTTCGATTTTCCATAATTTACGCTAAGTGTACGTGCATGTTCTATTAATTAATATTCTAAATGTATAGTAATAATGATTGGCTTATATTAGTGCAAAGCTTACAAAATTGAATGAGATTAGACTCATGAGTTCCTTTCCAAAAAAAAAAATAATAAGAATAAAAGATATTGTTTTAAAAATAAAAATAAAATCGTGTGTTGTCTTATATTAAAAAACAAATAAAAACAAAACACACACATTTTTATAATTATATATTAAAGCTATCAATATATAAACATCTACAACTTCTTTACAAGCAAGCAACCTAGAAAATATCGTAACTAACTAAGTTGATAGCTGTGTATGAATATTAGATACAAATGTGTGCGTTTGAATTCCGGCATCCCACTTGTTCCTCACACTTTTTTTTATAGTGCTCTTAATTAGGCCCTTATGTGTGGGCCTTATTAGCGGTCCAAAATGTCCGCCCCTCAAGCCTTTGTTTTTACTTGTTGGAATGATGGTTTTGTTCTGCGGCTTGTAGTCCAGGCTCCAGTAGGAGGGAGTGGGAAAACTTTGATGTCGATATCATATGAAATAGGCGTATTAAATGTCTTCCTCGTAACTTGCAATGTTTTTCGGGAGGGTTTTGACGCATAGAAGTATGTCTGATAGTAATGACGTCTTCTTATCTTATGGTACTTAAGTTTTTTGAATAGTTCAATGCAAGATCGTGACCATTGGTAGTATGGTCACACTTCTCAAACATCTATTATCGCAGATTGTGCAATTGTTTAAAGAAAATACAAAGAGTTTTAGGGTAATTATCTTTTTTTTCCTCATTTATGAGACTTCAACATTGTTTTTTTTAGTTGTCCCCCGTCTGTGTTAACAGTTTCCATCAACCGTTATTTTGACGTCTTTACATGTCTATTCGAAAAACCCTACATCGCGTGAATTATCAAGTTCATCACTTTCAAGGTAATGACCCAAAGTCTCGTTCTTTATATAATCATTTTGCCTCCACTAGGATTTCTTGGGAAGGTGGTGATGGAGGATTATGAGGAAGCAACAACGGGCGAGAGTGAAAGTGTAGTTGATAAGCCTATCCCTTAGGATGGTTGTTAGAGGTTTCACTTTCCATGTCCTGCCCCTAATAAATCCCAATATTATAGATGATTTTAAGCATGAACTCAAGGCCCCGACTTACATCAGAGTACGTCTTTTCACTTTTGATTATGACTCCACAGACACTGGACTAATGTGATGGTTGAAATCCCAATCATGCTTATACTTATGTTTTTTTTTAAGTTACATTTCTTCCGCCTCTCAAGGGTTTACGCTTTGATTGTTTGTCTTTTAACTCTTTTTTTGTTGATATCATTATTGAGCCTCCTCACATGATTGCGCGTCTTAGGATTGAGTTCTTAATTTGTATGAAGCACACATAAATCAAACAGTTTGATTATGGTATAAGAAATACGTGTCTTAGCCAATTTATCAAATTTTTAGATAAAGAACCAACTTTGAGAACAGTTCAAGTCATGACAATGTTAAAATCTCAAAAACACTTTACACTTTGCAAAAATTGAGATTCTTGAAGTGTGATTCAAATCATATACTTCCATGACTCAAATTAGTGTTATAGAATGTCCATACATTATTTTCATTTTTGCCTGATTTGAATCACAAAATCCATGACTTGAATCATTAAAGTTTAATTCAAATCACATACTTCCTGATTTGAATCAGACACATACTACATTTCTTTGGGATTTGGTTATGTAAGTTTGATTCAAATCACTTGTTTTCATGACTTGAATCATGTGACTCAAATTAAAAATAGTGTGGCTCGAATCACAATGTTAGTTTTTTTGTTACTTATTGGATCTTAACTCAAATCACTCCATCTCCCTTGATTTGAATCATACTTTTTGCTTATGACTTTGATGAAACATCATTTTTCTCTCATTTTGTGGTAGATTTCTAGCACATATAAAAGCGTATTTCTCTCAAAACCTTTAACAATGTCGGAAAACACTTCCACTATTGGTTTGAAATTTTAGAGTAACACTCATTCTCACAATTTTCAAAAGAATTTTGAATATGATTTTGAGTGTTTGTAAATGAAATCTCTCATCTTCTACCTCTTTCTTTATCCATTTTTGTTTTGGATCTAACTCTCATCTCTGAGGTGTGTGATCTTGAAATTCTGCTCCTTAGGTGGCAAATGTCGAACACAATATCCTAGACAACTGGTTAGACAAATTAAACCAGAAATACCACAGTAGCAAGTAATAAATGATGGAGCGGAAAAGCAGTAAATAACACGATAGTTGTTTACCCAATTTGGTGAAACCACACCTACGTCTGGGGGGGTTGAGTCCACAACCTAATAAAGGAAATTCACTATTAGTAGTTTAGTAAAATTAGTCTTATAAAAGCAATAACACACCCTATGTTTTTTAACACCTCTTCTTAACACTATCCAATGACTTTCTATTTAGGGCTCCCCTAAGCATGATAACCTACTCACTTTCTTCTCAATCACATAACTTGTGATTGGAGGTACAACTTAATAATTAATGTTGAATACTACCACTCAACTCTAGACAAATCAATTATGCAAAGTTGTTTAAACATAGTGGTGTATATACATCAATAACAATGACTTCAAATAAACTGTATCATTCTAAAATCTTCAATGTATTGCTTCGCTTCCAATGTAGGTTTTGAGATCCTTATATAGCATAATAAATATGGGTTTTTCTACTTGGATAATAACTTTAATTTCGTTCAAGATATGATTTATTTTGATTTAAATCTCCAACAAGATATGATTTATTTTGGTTTAAATTCAAATTTAAATCTGAATTAATCTTTATCCAATTGTCAAACAAATCACCTAATCATATTGCTAAGCTAATTAGCAATAAAATATGATACAATCTTTGACCAGAAACTCTTCCAAAACACAACAGTATTAACTTGTTGTGTAAGATCCAGATGTTGTACCTCATGTTGTAACATCGTATCCATCATGTGTCCCCTATGCACCTCCATACAACTTAAGCAAGCTAGATAATCTTGAACACTTTGAATACTTCTTCCTTTTTTTGTTTTTCAAAATGCAGGAAATCCAAAAGGTCTATCCAATATGAACTACAATCTCCCCATTTGATAAATTGTGGCAAAACAAATCTTCAAGATATATCACTTATTCAGACCAGAACTAATGACAGTCTTCAGAGCATACAATCATCAGCAGACTTAAAAAAAAAGCAGAGATAAGCTCAGCAGCAAAAAACCAATAGCACTTATTACAAATGCCACACAAATAATGCTCTAGAACCAATCAGACAGACATGTGATCATTCACAAATTAGTCATGCATGACACTCAGTCAACTCATAATTAGTATCATACAATCCTACTAACTGACAATAATTAGCATGCAATTATTCACATACTTAGTCATCTGTAACACAAATAATTAGTAGTTAATAACATGATATGCAAAAAAAAACTACTAACACAAAAGCTCACATCAAATCAAAAGGGACAAATGTCTCGCTTAATGCTCCAGCATGTGAGCACAACATTAGCGCTCACTAGTGATGGTTAGTACTAACCAAAAACATGTGTTACCTCAGCACTCAGCAACACCATACTACTCCCCCTTTTTGCCATGATTTGGCATATGGTAAATATCAAATAACACCTAGATGTTAGTCATGCATAGGTTAGTATGTTAGGACATACACAACCAAAACATGAGCACAACAACATCCAAAGATGCACAAACATTATATCTATTTATCGTACATAAGTTCAAAGAGGCTATAGAGCAAACAAATCCAAAAAAATGCCCATATACAAGGACCAAACAAATAAGCTAGAACAAGGAAATCTTGAGGAAGAAATCTCCAAGCTTCAGCTCCTTAGATCAAAACCTAATTTTAAAGGTTGAGAAACACAACAAAAGAGGATTTGAATTGAGTTTCACATTTTGTCCCCTTTTGCAGGAATTAGAAGAATAAATATAATAATGATAATAAAAATAAATAACACAATTATTTTTATCCTGGTTCACTGTTAACAAAGTTACTCTAGTCCACCCCTCGAGGTGATTT